TGAACATTGTCGTAATCAGTACACGGATGGATTTAGTGTCGTGTGTCTAAGCAGTAATGCCGATTCCAGCGACAGCGAGCCTAGTCAATGGTGTGTCTACAGACTTAATACGCAAGTGTGTGTTTAGTTCTGTGATTGGCCATGTAATCGATTTGAAGCCGTAACATCGAGGCTGATTTGCTGAATAACCAAAGCTCATCAACTTCATTTTATTTTTTTTGTATAAGTAATAGGTCGGCAAGCAATCAGCGCCGCCCATGGACACTCGCAACGGAGGAGTTACGAGTGCGTTGCCGACCTTTAAGATATTAGGATTTGGAGATTTAGGGATTGAGGAGGGATTGGGGAAGGGGAAGGATTGGGCCTCCGGTAACCTCACTCACACGGCGAAACACAACGCAGTGGTTATTTCACGCCGGTTTTCTGTGAGGCCGTGGTATCACTCCGGTCGAGCCGACCCATTGCCGAAGCATGGCTCTCCCACACTTAACTTCATAATAATCTTTGGTTGTTGGGTGTGTACACATATTACATAGATTTTAGATTAAGATTGATTATCAATTGCAGTGGCAGACATTGGACGACGAATCCAATCCCAACCAGAATTAGGTTGGCCCCTAAGTTGGAACGGTCTGGGGCCGCGCTCAAGCGGCTCCTTCCCAACCTCGGGGGGCCAAACGCCTCCTGCCGGAGGTTGTATATGGGGATTGTGCGATCCATGGCCCTCTACGGTGCCCCTGTGTGGGCGCCGGACTTGAAGCGGCGGCCGGCTCGTACGCTGGTCGCGTCCCAGAGGGTCATGGCTATCCGAGTAATCCGCGGGTATCGCACGATCTCCGGGGAGGCGGCGAACCTCCTTGCCGGATCACCGCCGTGGGATCTAGAAGCGAAGGCGCTCGCGCGCGTCTACAGTTTGCGCGCAGACGCGCGTCGCCGGGGCGAAGATCCTCTGCCGCGCCAAATTAGTGCGTGGCGGAATGAGCTCCGGCGAGATCTCATGGCAGAGTGGAAACAACGACTGTCGCAACCGAGGGCCGGGCACGCTACCATAGCAGCGGTAAGACCCCTCTTTGAGGAGTGGCTTGGGAGACGCCACGGCGTCCTCACCTTCCGTCTGACGCAGGTGCTTACCGGGCACGGCAGCTTCGGTAGGTTCCTGTTTCGGATTCAGCGGGAGGAAACGCCCGAGTGTCGTCATTGGGAGGACCACCTAGAGGATACGGTGGAGCATACGGTAGCGGTATGCCCTGCCTGGGCTGAGCACCGCCGTATCCTCAGGGAAGTGATCGGCGGCGGCGACCTCTCGCGCCCGGCCTTAGTCGAGGCCATGGTGCGGAGTGAGAGGAACTGGGACGCCGTCTCCTCCTTTTGTGAAGCAGTCATGCTCGCAAAGAGAGAGGCGGCCCGCGTGAGGGAGCAATCCTCCTCCTCACGCCCCAGCAGCCGCAACTGGCGACACTACGGGCGTCGGGGATCGAGGGACGATCTCCGGCCACCGTAAGCACGGGCCTGCGGTCGGCGAGTAAGGGCAGCTCGCCGCTCGACCAGAACCAGGCCCGAGCGTACGGCGCGTAGCGTTCCGCGCGCGCCTCAAAGAGCCATTCGACCACCACAGATGGGGCCCTAAAGGGCTGATGTTCAGCCGGGGTTGCGGGGTAAGCGTAATGAGGTACCGCGACCTCGGCACAGAGCAGGAGAAGGAACAGGGGGGTTTTAAGTCAGTAAGAGTCTGACACTCCCTCCGTCCCGGCCCTGGGCGGGAGAAGTCATTTGATGATTTTCCCCTCACAAAAAAAAAAAAACCAGAATTAGGTTATAAAATAATAATAAGCAAAGAGCAAAGACGAATAAACTCTCTACAAATTGATATAAAACTCCTTTTACAATGAAACCTAAAACGAAAAACAAATTAGTAACGTATTTACCCGACTGCCAAAGAAGGAGGGTAATGTTTTTCGAGTGTATGTAAGTATGTATGTATGTCTTTTCCTTTGTGACCTCCTGTAGCCTAAACGGCTTGATGGATTTTGATGTATGAGGTATCGTTAGATTTGTCTTGATTACGGGAGTGTCATAGGATACATTTTATCCTAAAAGTCCCACGGGATAAAGACATAATAATATTTTTTCTAAATTTCCCTTTAAAAAAATATGTATGCGGTATCATTAGATTCATTTCAATCACGGGAGTAATTAATATAGGATACGTTTTTTCTCAAAATTCCCACGGGAACATGTTAATTATGCGTCAACGCAAAGCAACTCATGCGTTAGCAAGCAAAAAGATAGGGCGTGGCCTGGCATGCGGCGTGCGGCGCGGTGCGGAGGGGGATATGCTCGAGTATACAGCCCCTAATTCTTTTCTTCTTCACTACAACAGTCCAGATTGGCGGTAAATTTATGTTGCGGAGTAACATCACTCGTAATCTAAAGCCAAATGTCGTCGAAATAATTTAAAATGATACTTACATATACATAGTCTTCTACATCTACAACATTTTCGTTAATAAAAACAGCTAAAAAGTTATAAATAAAAAAAATATTATTAAAAAAACAAAATACCCGACTGCACACTAAAAAAGAGTAAAACAAGCCCCACAATACAAATTTACTGAATATAATTTATAAATGTTGATGGAAAGCATCGCAGGCGGGGACCACCTTGACCGCCACCAACGAAAATTCTGCTAAATGGTGCACAACAGAAATGACTATAAATAAGCCTCTGTTGGTCCCCGCCTGCGATGCTTTCCATCAACATTTATAAATTATATTCAGTTAATTTGTATTGTGGGGCTTGTTTTACTCTTTTTTTAGTGTGCAGTCGGGTATTTTGTTTTTTTAATAATATTTTTTTTTTCTGTGTTTATTCACATGTTTGTTTTTAAAACATTTGGAGACATTTGCAAATTCAAAGTCAAGGTCATAGTAGCATTTTAATTTTATCATTATGTGAGATCATACTTTATTTTATGTTATCTTGTAGTTCGTATTTTAAAACTATTTCGTGCCTCCTTAACTGTCTGAAACTACGTTAGCTACAAACTATGTAATACTTACATAGCGAAACGCCCCAGCTTTGCAAAGGTGCAATGCTAATAAAAAAATTCTATAATGGATGTTGTTATACTTCTAAACCTTCGTCAATCACTCTACCTATTAAAAAACCGCATCGAAATCTGTTCCGTAATTTTAAAGATTTAAGCAAACATAGGTATATAGGGACAGAGAAAGCGGCTAGGTTTTAAGCGGATAAGTTTAAAAATGGAATGGATGGAATCTTTAGGGGTAAATAAGTGCGCGCGCCTCAAACAGCCAATAGACCACCACAGACAGAGCCTTTTAGGGCTGATGTTCAGCCGGTGATGCGGGGTAGGCAAGCGCAATATGGCACCGCAGTCTCGGATTAAAACAGGGGTTTTTTGTCAGTAACAGTCTGACACTCTCTCTCTCTCTCTCTCTCTCTCTCTCTCTCTCTCTCTCTCTCTCTCTCTCTCTCTCTCTCTCTCTCTCTCTCTCGCTTACCCTGCGGCGGGAGGAGTCATTTGATGATTTTCCCCAGGGGTAAATAAGTGATGTAACAAGCATTAAACAATCTGAACTATGGATTGCAACGAATATGACTGATCTACGCAATATTAATATTAATAAAAAACTTATGAAACAGTGAGTTACCAAAAGCTGGGCCGTAGTCGTAGCTACCAATTAATTTTCGTTTTTCAACAAAAACATAACAAAAAATCTAGGTATGCACACACATGTAGGTATGCTCAACACATCCATAAATTAATAATTTATCAAGTACATTTCTTAAGTTTATTTATAAAAAAATAAATAAGAAATGACGACAATAGTCGGGTCAACGTAATATCGAGTTAGTAAACAGATAATTTTATAATTAATGGTATCAACTGGCACAGATAATTTAAGTATTATTGAACTATTCTTCCGCTGAATAACATTCTATTGCTTGATCATAAAACAAAAGATCTGGTTTAAATAGAAAGAGTTTTAGAAGCGATGAAAATTTTCTTTTTTAATGTCTACTCTACAGTCTTGTTTTTCGACGTAGTAAAATCTCGCCCAGAGTGGGGATGAGGAAGTTTGAAACTTACAGATTAAAACATGAGGCTAATATTCCTTGATTCGCTTGTGCCTCAAATTTCTAGTCTTAAAAGGATAACATTATTTTTAAATTGAAACGTTATTAAAGGAAACTTTAGGACAGGTTCTTTAATTGAACAAATAAAAAAAAATTGAGAATTAATGGACGTGACTATCATGTATTAAAAAAAGAGGACGCATTTTAAATCGGGTTGTCAGTTGATCAATGGTTACGTAACCTAGGTGTTGAATTTCACCTAGATGGAACCATCTTGATGAGGGCCACCGGGGAGGTTGTAGTGAGGCAAAAATCCAAAGTCTTTTTCCCCAAAAGCTAGGTGCCTTTTGAAGGTCGGGTGGACCTTTTGGTTAACAAAAAAAAGGTGTTTAATTCCGAGATACAGAGAAAAATGGTCGTCTTTGTACAATTGCGTACCTATTCTAGTAAATGTATCAAGATAAGCATCGGTCGGATGTTTAACTCCAAGATTGTATGTTACACAACGTTAAACGTCATGAGAGTTCTTTACCCGTTTATCTAGTGCATTGACTTAATGATACTATAAACAAAAGTATATAACTAGTAACTAACAGCACATTAAAGTATATGAAACTAGCTGGTTCATTTGCAAGTTTAAACTGTCTTAATAAAGTTGAAAATCGATTGAAGAAAATTGTCAGTTTGGAATAATTTTATGTGCTGTTTACAATAATTGTTAATTTTTATTGAAAAAGTTGTGAAAAATATGTTCTCTGTAGGCATTCTGCTTAATTAAAACGAAGTATCTAGTACTTACTTACTTAATTGTTAGTCTGTGTTTGTCATCTGACGTTTCTGGTACTGCTATCAAAGTTTTGGAATAAGAAACTGTTCTTATTTCAAACATGTAGCAAGGATGTGTAAAGTGTATTTTCTTAAACTTAATTTTAACTGGATTGACAATCCAGTTTGGTCAGTCCAAGTGAAGTTGCTTGCTCATTCCAACCACAGAACAGAAAATTAAGCCCATTAAAACAGACAGGGCTGCAACCCCGTCTGTTTTAATGGGCTAGGGCAAATTCCAACCAATTTTACTTACCATGGGTACTTCACGTTTATAATTTACTAGCTTCCGCCCGCGGCTTCGCATCCGTTTCAAAGTAATGTATCCAGTGATTTTAAAAAATGGCCGCGTTTAAAGCGATATCTCTACTTAAATAGGTACTCAAATCAATTATTAATAAACTCACGATTCTCACGCGGTTTCACCCGCTGCTCGGCTCCATTTGATCGTAGCGTATTTTTTTATTATAAATCAGTTTCAAAATACTTAGGTACTAAATATTTTTTTTTCAATGTTCCAGGTCAAACGGTATTCGTCCAGGGCGCGGCCGCGACTCCGGTGCCCTTACTGGACGCCATGACAGATGTCGGCATAAGTGGCGGGATGAAAGGCATCAAAGTTGTCCACATGCACACGGAAAAGGAGGCGCGATATGTCGCCCCTGAATGCAAAGATATCTTTAGGTTGGTATCTGATAAAATACGATAGTTTCCAACTAGCCAAATTAAATACTTTTATTCAAATGTCAAATACGACACTTTTCTATGAAATTTGAATGAAACACTGAGTTACGACGTCGTAATATTTTAGCGTCAAATAGTTTACTTATTTCTTAAAAATTAGCAAAAAAATATCTTTAATTTAGTGTATCGATAAATCGATGAATAAAAGTAGGTACTTATAGTTATGTTTCAGTATTTTATTGTATTGAAACTTCGAATTAATTTATTTTTGACTTAGGAAACTATCAAATTATTATAAGTTTATTGCCCGAAGGGTGTGTGTCTTTAAGGCTCAAGTGAATAGGATGCTTGTAGGCAGGCGTGCTCCATCATAGGTCACGTGACACGTCATAGTTTTACAACCTGAAGAGATAGACAGAAGAGAGAGAGAGACAAATAATTATTTAACCCTGTTTCTGTCGTGTGTCCAGGACACGTAAAACGTCCAAACGAATTGAAATGAAAAAAGGTTTTAATAATATTAATTTACATTAATTACCTTTCAATCTGGTCTCTAATAGAATGATAATGCTGTAGGTAAGTTGCTATCAAAGAAAATTTCAGATTCAATACTTTTTCGAAATGTCAACAATTATACGTTTTTTTATGAATTTTGTATGAGACATATTATTATGATGCCATATTGTTTTAACGTCAAATAGCATACCTAATTATTTCAAATCTAAGATTACGTAAGTAGGTATGTCGTCTAATAAATTAAAAAAAGCATTTATTTGCAAAATATTAATTTCGAATACAATTAACATACATTATATTAAAAATTTATCGAATTCAGAAGTGAAAATAATTTATTTTTGTAATTTATTTTCTAGTTTTTACTCAATTATATATGTTTATGTAGTGACCAAAAAGTTGTAGTTTCTTACATTTTTTTTTTTGAGATTTATTAAGCTACCAAACAATAACTTTACTCTTAAATAATAAATAGCAGTAGCCTACGTACCCGCACCATAAAAGTTAACAGATGAAATCATGATTTTCGGTGCATTTCAGGAATTATGCGCCAGCCATATATATTGCCACAGATAAGATATGAATACCAGACTTTTTGTAATTATGATGAAACATATTTTTTGGATAGGAATGAAAATCAATAGTTAATCGTTAGGGCGATCCGAACCCCGAAAAATGTTATATTACATCATTTTTTATCAGATTCATAGATTGATTACTACTTACCTACTAAGTTGATCTAGTTCAAACCAATTTTCGGTAGAAGTTGAAAAGAATTTACATCATAGTTATATTGCAGATTTTCACATAAATATGGGTTTTTATATTTCAAAATCTTAACGTGCTGCACAGAATAAAACTTACCAAGTTCCAACAATAAAGTTTCAGAAAAAAGTGGCTGTTGCATACGAATGGTCAGGCAGCGCGACATGAATAATCATAAGGATCCAATCTTTGCCATTTTTTATAATTAGAATGCAGGTACTTACTGTCTATGACAGATATACAAAAAATGCCAAGCTATTCTTTACATTAGGGTTTTCGCGATTTTTATTAGTAGTGTCCTTGACATTGATATATTTGCTGCATTACTGCATCCTTATCGAAAATACGATGGACGATAAAAGGACACATAAACCTTTATACTCGTATACTTTATACTTATGTTGTAAATATATGATTTCAAATGTTACATATTATTTTTGACACAAAATTTCCTTTTTTGAAGATATGAATGTTATACTTACTCATCAGCCTTTAAGAGCCCACTGCTGAGCAAAGGCCTATTCTCACATGGAGAAGATTTGAGCACTAATAACCACGCTTGTTCAAAGTGGTTTGTTGAAATATGACGATGAATAAGAAATAGATTGTCATTTATATTAATATTATAAAGAAACTAAACTCTCACGCGGTTTCACCCGCTCCTCGGCTCCATTTGATCGTAGCGTAATGTTTTATAGCCTATATCACTCAGGAAGATTGTAGCTATCTATCAGTGAAAGAATTTTGGCAATCCAACCAGCGGTTCCAAAGATTTCCCCCTACATACAGACTTACAAATTTTACCTCTTTATAATATTAGTATAGAATTAGTAAAGACCAATAAAATTGCAAATGTATTTGCTTGCATTAAAATAGGCTCCAAAATAACTTGACCGATTTACTTATAAGATTATTTCACGAAGCTACGCTGTTCCCAGTGATCAATAGGCTATGCATATTATAATTTTAAGTATTTTAAACAGAAATTAGAACATGGAAATAGAAATCGCGAAAGGATTTTTTGGTTCTACAAAATATAAAATTGCTTTTTGCATTTTGCCATTTGTATTTTTCTCCGCGCAACACCTAAAGGGCAGACCAGTAGAGAATGAACTCAATCCACGCTGTGTACATTTTCTTGTCCATGAAGCTATCCAAACTAATGCGAAAGTAACTCTGTCTGTCTGTCTGTCTGTTTTTTCTTTCTTCACGCCTAAACTACTGAACAGATTTCCGTGTAAGGTACAGACATAGTTTGTAACTCGAGAAAGGACATGGATAGTTTTTATACCAAAAATCTGCAGTGTCACTATTCCACGCGAACGGAGTTGCGGGCAAAAGCTAGTAAAGAAATAAATAAAATTGCTACAAGTCATAGGCAACTGGTTGTTCATAACTTAGGTACGCTAGGCACGTTGGTATCTCGGATACCACTTGGGTATGACATTCGGTAATCCCGATGATCATAAACTTTGATATGTTATCGCCTTATCAACGAGTGTCAGAGTATCAAAATCTTCAAATCGTGTTATTCTAAGATCGTCCATGTCAGATAAAATTGTCACGATGTTTCATATTTCCTCAATGTCGCCAACGTACCAATTGATAGGCTCAAATTTCTTTTTGTAACTAAGTTAATATACTAAGCCAAAAACGTTAACTTAATTAATAAGAGATTGCAATGTCCTCTTTCTCTATAAAGTCTTTTTTAGTTTTTTTACGTTTATAAAACGAAGTAACGACCAGTAATATAGGAGACGTAATTAATGCAAATCCAGATTGAAATTCTTGGGTTGCAAGTTGTAACATCTTTGATGGACAATTTCAGGTGGTACATATGCTCAAATGAATAAATTAAAAAATTTAATCCCATATAATTTCGTACTTTTGCCCTTTAGGTACTGTACCTACACGGTTGGGCCATTATAGTAGGGGGAAAACATCTTTTGAGGGGATGGATGGATGGATCTTCCGTTCCGACCATACATGTACAGTAAATAAATACATTAGGTGCCTGTCCACGGTTTTTCACCGCGATGTATTTTTTATAGATATTCGTATTACAGTGAATCTTATAGAAGTATCCGCATAAGCGCTAAAAAAATCTTTGGTTTCATGCCAGTCTTGCGCGATGCGGTGCGGTTATAAATCTACCCGACCATTTGAGCCATTAATGTGAAATGCATTAATAATAGGGGAGCCCAGGATGCTAAATTTGTAGTTACTCGAGCGTCGTAGGGAGTAATTGGATTCTATAGATTTGGTGATAGAAAGAAAAAAATGACTTAATGACATTTCATTCCTCCAGTGGGGAATGATAGTTTACCAAATTTGTAAGTTGTCACTTTTGTTTTAGTACACGAGCCTACAAACATACAAATTTTACCTCTTTATAATATTAGTATAGATAAAAAGAAGGCATTTGTTCCAATATTTATCCATTTTACTTTCAGAACAATTTTAGCTACTTAAAAACGTTGGCAAATTGTAATAAGTGTGTAAAAATCTTCTCCGAGTTCTTACTACTATTAATTGAGATGACACTACTTGATAACCTTATCAGATTAGGTGTTAATAATTGTCATTGATAACGTCAAAATGAGTAAATAATAAATGATTAATATAGTAATAACACGCTATTAAACGATAAACTATTTTGATCGTACTAAGTACTTCTAACATTATTAGATAAGCAATACTTTGATTTTCAACCTTATTCCTTTTGCACTTAATGTTGATAATTGTTTATTGGTTTATTGGTTTTGAACTTTACTAGAAATGTGTAAGGTTCAGGATCTATTAAATCAATTGGATATTTTCTTCGATCAAAAATAAATTCCTTCAAGATTACAATACAATTAAATATTCAAAAATAATCCTACTTCATTTATGGATTTGATGACAAATCTTAATCTTAGATTTTTATTTGTTACATTTTAAGAAAAAAGTATGCTGTTTGACCCACAAAAAATGATGACGTCACATTTCTGTTTTCAATGCCAAGTTCATAGAACAGTTTCGTATTTGACATAACAACATTACAGTAAAAGTATTGAATTTGACTAGCTGTCAAATACCGTATTATGAGTTATGGATAGTTTGATAAGCAAATATAACCTTTGAGGTACAACAAACGAAGTTAATGTCATAAGCACTTAAAATTGATAAGTTTGATTGTTTTCTAATTTGGGTCACACCCAAGGATCCAAAAAGGAATTTCGGTTGCTATGTGGTGTACTTAGAAGCATGTTGAATATCGTCAAAGAGGCAAGGGACCACCACAGATGAGGCCTAATAGGGCTGATGATGTCGGGGTTGCGGGGCAAGCGCAATAAGGTACTGCGGCATCCTCTGAACAGGAGAAGGAACGGAGTGGTTCTTAGTCATTAAGACTGACACTCGCTCTCGCCCCAACCAGGGCGAAAAAAGTCATTTGATGAATATCCCCCGACAAAAAAAGCAGTAGATGTCATCCACGAGAGCCATGAATGCTTCACACGAATGGATGCTCTCATATAAAACCGGTGTGAAACATCAAAGCGTTTTGTTACGCCCTGCGTGTGGGGTTACCGGAGGCCCAAACCTTGCCCACCTCCATGCTTCCCCAATCCTTGAATTCCCAAAACCTCTTATCCACACCATGCCGGCAACGCACTTGCAATTTTTCTGGTGTCATTTGGCGGTGTCGATTACTTACCGTCTCGAAAAAATCCGCTCAACAATATTAATGACGAATTAAAATATTCATGTTCTAATTTCCCTTTCAGATCTGTGTCGCTGTTCATGGCCGCCAACGTTCGCAAGTCAGTGGCCGAGGGTCGATCAGACGCCATCCCCATATTCCTGCAAGACATTCCAAAACTGTTCCACAGGAAAATTATCCAGCCCGACATTGCTGTTATCCAGGTTTGTTTTATGAGTAACTAAACATTAACTCCCTCGCCGCGTCCAGGCACGCTGCTCATGAGGAAGAACCCCTCTGTGGTTCGAAACTAGTAGAGCTTTTCTCAATTACACACGTGAGTAACCCGCGATTTTTAGTCAATTTAGTATGTCTCACGATAGTTATTAAAAAAAAAATAACTAAACATTATTTATTTGTAAATTTCAATGTTGGTATATCCCAGGTTTCTCCCCCTGACGCGCACGGCTACTGCAGCTTGGGAACCTCAGTGGACTGCGTTAGGGCGGCGCTGGTCAACTCCAAAGTCATCATCGGTAAGCTATCTCCTATTCTTACGTATCAACCCTTAACTATTTTGGACTGTAAAAGAGGCCTCTGAGTTTTTTTATATAACTAGCAGTTACTTATTTTCTCTACGTACAGACCTTCTCTGGACTTTTACAAATAATGAAGGACCAAAATTAACCAAATCGGTAAAGGCATTGTTGATGTATGACATTATAACGAAAAACATTTTAAATTTAGAACTTTAAGAACAGGTAAACCATACGTTTATGCTTTGTTCGGATTATTAAATAAGTAATTAAGTTCAAGTGAAGTTAGGTACACAATTTTTTTTCTCATGTTGTACATGTTGTTTGTTGTTTGTGCGGCACTTTCGGTGCCAAACTAATTGTTTTTCTCTCTTTCATAATCGGTAGACTTTTTATTTTTTTCTGAGCGGCTAGTGTTATATTGTTAACCGTATTTCTGTATTTATAAAGATCTCAGATAGACGTCTAGTAGATGATTAGAGTAATATTGTAACTTAATAATGCGTGGCGTCACCGACCTTGCCACGGACGCTCTTCAACATCTTATTTAATCATAATAATAATGTAATGCCTTCTATTGTTCTCGCTACATTTAATTGTTAATAATTGTATGTTCCTTTTCACCTTGTCTTTTTCTCGTATTAAATATAATATATAGCTATATATTTGTGCTCCTATGTACGTGTGTTATAAAGCATAACTTTTGTTCTTTTTCTAATATTGCAATGCAACTACCTAGGTAATAACTTGCTGAAGGAACGTAACGTAAAATTTGAATGTCGCTCTCGCGCGAAAACACTTTCTTTAGAGATAAATATAAAAGAACCGTTGTTAAATAAAAGTAGCGTGTGTTACTCCTCATGGCATCAGCTTCGGCCCAGCCATTTCAAAGATTTTTTAGCCGGAAAAGCGAGTTTACGAAAAGGTGTGTGCGAAATTATCAATGTTACGATCAGACACTCCAATTTTATTTTTATGTATAGTATATACGAGTATAGATGTATATGTATAGTATAGTGAGTAGTACGTGTATAGATATATTTAAGGCTACTGCTTGCTATGTTAATAAGTACGCACTAGTCGTCAAATGACAAGAAGACTTATAAAAGTGTTGCCATGCCTTTAATGTATATGTCTCCGGAAAATAACAAGATCCGTAAGTTTATCAATTTACTAGAAAGTTTATAAACTTTCGTAAGATTCTAAACGGAATATAAATTTTAATATTTTACGTCCACATTTTCGTAAATTTATCAATTTCCGACGTCATACGGTAAATTTATAAACTAACGAATATCTATTCGTAAGATTCTATATGGTTCGACCAATCACAGATTTTTTTTAAATATACGATTTTTGAAATACATAAAATAACACACTGCTCTCTGGTTGGTCAATGTTCATAGACTTTGAAATAATCAGACTTGACAAACTATAAGAAGAAGAATGTTACGAAAGTTTATAAACTTCCTAGTAAATTGATAAACTTACGGATCTTGTTATTTTCCGGTGACATATATGTATAAAAACCAATGCCACTGCTCGTTGTTAGGTATGTATATCTATAACTCAACAATGCATTTACCGATTTGGCTAACTTTGGTCTTGAATTATTCGTGGAAATCTAGGGAAGGTTATTTTACAGGAATTAACACAACAAAACAAATAGTTATATTTGACACCAGAGGAATTACGAGTGCTTTGCCGGCCTTTGGGGGCTTTGGGGATAGGGGATTTGAGGACTGGGAGTTTGGTATCTGTGATATAAATAAAAGATTTTACTTGACTTGAGACCGTTACTTGACTTTAATATCACAGTATCTGTGTACTGTGATATTGGGCAGCTCACTGCCCAATTAGAAACAACTACAGTAACAAAATTCCTAGGCGTTCACATTGACAACAAATTAACATGGAAACATCATGCAGAAGACATGTGCAATAAATTGAGTAAAACGGCATATGCACTCTACTGCCTTTCAAAAAAAGTTAACCTTAATACACTAGTGATAGCATATCATGGTTTAGTTGCTTCCTCACTAAGATATGGCGTTATATTTTGGGGAAACCGTAGTGATAGAGAGAGAATCTTCAGGGCCCAAAAACGTTGCCTTCGGTCAATGACAGGTCTTAATAGTGCAGAAAGCTGTCAACCTGTTTTTAAATCTCTGGGGATACTAACATTGCCATCATTGTACATACTAGAGGTTGCCCTTTTTGTTAGAATGAACACTCATCTATTTACATCAGTGGTGGATAATAGACAACGCTCAGGACCAATTAGGTCACAATATAAAAATCAATTATATATCGGTGGTTACAAGAAGTCTTTACTTAAAAATAATATTTTTACCATGGGCCCTCTTATATATAATAAACTAATAATACACTTAAAAGATTTACCTATCAAAATTTTTAAAAAGAAGTTAGAAAAACTGCTACTGGACAAGTGTTACTATTCGATACAAGAATTCTTTAATGACAAATCCTTCTGTTGAGGGTATGGACGCAGCTTCCTCCTTATGAAATTTACTGACATTCTATTTTTGTTTTTTGTTAAGCAAGACTCTAATGTTATCTTATTTCTTTCTATAATGGAATTTATTTTGATTTTTCTGACTTATCTGGAGTAATTAATAACTGACATGTAATTTGTTTTGTGTAATGTAATAATTGTAATGTGTAATAATTGTACAAGATTTTCAAATTTTAGTAATTATATTTTTTTTATTGCTCAATTATGTAGATTATCACACCATATTAAATTTGTACGCCTCCTGGCATAACATAGCGCTCTGTGTCAACAACATTATAATATCTGTATTTTATTAACCTATGTTAACAAATAAATGATTTGATTTGATTTGATTTGATTTGATTTGATTTGATTTGATTAGATTTGGCTGCACCAGAGTTACATTGTCAATGGTCGGTAGTATGTCGACCATGACGACAATGACAGTTCTAGTGTTGTACTAATAAGCTACATGTATTAATTAGTGATGTTACAACTGTATCGTATGTATCTAAGAAAACTTATTTTTTTATTACAGCTCAAGTAAACGCACACATGCCTCGTACGTTTGGAGATGCGATTATCCACATGTCCCACATCGACACGGCCGTGGAAGACAACACGCCGCTGCCGGAACACGGCGGCAAACCCGCCAGCCCTGAGGAAATGCAAATCGGCAAGCTCATTGGACAGAATCTCGTCGAAGATGGAGCTACTTTGCAGATGGGTATGTAAATAATTATATTTTCCAAAATTTTTAACCCCCGACGCAAAAAGAGGGGTGATATAAGTTTGACGTGTCTGTCTGGCATCCTGGAGCCTGAACGGGTAAAGCGATTTCAATTTAGTTTTTTTTGTATTAAAGGTGACTTACGTGCGAGTGGTCTTAAACATGTTTGACGAAAATCGGTTGAGCCGTTTAGAAGTTTATAAGTAATTTTAAATTTATTATGTCATTGGTCGGCAAACGAGATATTACCTGATAATAAGCAATTGGCGCCGCCAATGGACACTAGTAGTACCAAAGGAGTTGCCGGCCTCTTGTGAGTTATTAGTGATTTACGGATAGGGGATTTGAGGATTGAGGGGGATGGGAAGAATTGGGCCTCCGGTAACCTCACTCACACACAATTTAGGTGTCGCTTTACACCGGTTTTCTTTGAGGCCGCGGTATCACTCCGATCGAGCCGACCCATTTGTGCCGAACTCCTACATTTAAAAATCACACATTTGATTTGTGACTTGATATCAGAAAATATTCTAATGCGCAATAGACCTAAAGCTACACTAGCACCATTAGTGTCTCGTGCATTACGTTACATTAACTATTTCGAAGGAAACACAAGTACATACAAAAGCTTTCATTGAATTTGGATGTTAGAACTGTTTTGATTAGGACGAGCAATGTGTGAGAAAAAAAATTACTTATTCCTTTGTAGCAGCATGTCTAAACTTTGTATACGAACAATTCCTCAGGTATTGGAAGCATTCCGGACGCTGTACTATCAGCTCTGAAGGACCACAAGGACCTCGGCGTCCATTCTGAGATGTTCAGCGTCGGGGTCATCGACCTTGTAAGGCGCGGTTGCATTACTAACAATAAGTAAGTTAAATTATTGTATTCTTATACTTAAAAGAATATTTGTTACACTTTTATTGCTTGCAAAGACAGGGTGAAAGGCAAACAGTAGGCAGGTAGGGTCGGATAAAGTATTATTGAGTATTTTGTAACTTTGAAACGAGTTTAAAGTTGTACCAACTTAGTTAAGGACTAATTTTATATAATGTTGTATATTGTATGCTGCTGGAAAGTATGCTAACTATATATAGTTTTAATTCCTAATCTTCATATATAAAAAAAAAAACGTGTCACGTGTTTGTCCGCGATTGACTACTAAACCGATTGTAAATTTGATTTGCATTCCGTGTGAATTTTGATCCAACTTGAAAGATAGGATAGCTTACATCTCAATTTATAGTCACAATATTATTTTGACAAGAATCTTAGCCACTGCAACACGTGGCTGGGTCTGCTAGTATTTTTATAGTTTTAATTCTATAATTTTCTAATATTCGGAACTTGTTTAAGTTTCAAGCAAAAGTGTATAGTAGCTAAAACTGTTTATTTATTTATTATTTATTTGTATTAATTAATATTGTATGATACCCAACTAAAAAGCTGTTACTTTGATGTCGAGTTCTAATTGTAACGGTCATGTTTTTCTTTAGGAAAAAGACACACAGAGGCCGTATGGTGGGCAGTTTCCTTGTTGGAAACAAAGAACTCTACGACTTCGTTGACAACAATCCCTTTATTGGTAAGAACTTAATTTTTCTTTTTAAGACTTTACCCCACTATGTACAGGGTGTAAAAAGACACTTAACGAAGCCGTTAACTACGCACACTGCAGTTCTAACTAAGTAGCTTTACGCTAAAATTATCGCTGGGAAACGACTTTTATTTTTAGGTATCAAAAAAAAAAAATTTCGCGCGCAATGTAAAGCAAATGGGCTTCGTGTCATTGTGTGCGTAGGTTCACAGCTTAGCATTAAAACGCTGTGATAAGTACGTAGGTCGACGTTTTACTTCGCAACAACAAAACAATTCTGTAAAATAAAAAAAAAACCTACTGAGATGCACGATGTTTTTTGTGCGGGTCTGCATTTATTTATTACGTACATTACTGTTCGTAACTTTAAATGCATAATTTATTAAGAAAAATCGAAAATTCAGGTAATGTTTGTTTGGAAAATGTTTTATAATAATACTTAGAATTCGATTGCGCAAAAAAAAATTTAAAATGCATCTTTGACCTTCAATATCTCGAGAACCCGTGGAGTCCCACTATTGTCTCAAAGAAAAAATTATCCAAATAATGGGTAGAATACGTGGCTTTCGGCTTCGTTGAGTGTCTTTTTACACCCTGTATAATATTTTCCGCCTATATCGTGGGTTCGTTTCGGAGTCAGTGCCATAGTCCTTCCATAGCAACTATGGAACGACTATGGCACCGACTGAAACAATGTAACTTATCTCGAATCTACATTATTATTATTAAGGTTTTGCAAATAATTGCAAATCCAAGCGAACGCGAGCCACATATTGTCTTCTATTATGTCTCGAATTACCACGGTTCAAAGTTTAATGTGTATATACAGAAATGTTGGAGATCGACTATGTGAACAACACCCACATCATTTCGCTGTTGCCCAAGATGACTGCCATCAACTCCTGCATCGAAGTCGACCTTACCGGACAAGTTTGTGCCGACTCTATCGGTGAGATATTCATTTATTAATTGTACAAAAATAACCTATAACTTCTGAAAACCCCTGACAAAAGTTTAAGTAATTTTTCTTGCTGTGGGGAGTCATTAAATGACTTCTCTCCCGGGATGAGGTGAGAGGAGAGTGTCACTCTTACTGACGAAAAACCTCCCCGTTTCTTCTCCCGCTCCGGGCTGAAGCTGCGATACCTTATGAAACAATAAACAAGGAATTATTTTTTAAAAATATACCATAAAACAAAACTTTTAAACGTCAAAATTAAATGTAAAAAAACTTAATGAAGCCGACATTTCCTATATTATCACATATTAAATCCTGTTCTTCCTGTAAAACATCCCGCTACGATCTGTAAGGGCCGAGCAGCGAGTGAAACCACACGATCCGAGCTAGTGATTAAATATCGATTCTCTCCTCTCTTCAGGTACACGCATGTTCTCCGGTTTCGGAGGTCAAGTGGACTTCATCCGCGGTGCAGCGGAGTCCGTTGACGGACGTGGCAAACCCATCATCGCCCTCGTGTCTGTCACCAAGAAGGGAGAATCCAAGATTGTTCCAACACTCAAAGTCGGTCAGTATAAAAAAGTCTTTTACAATACTTTTCTTTTCTTTTTATTGAAATGTCAAAAACGAAACTGTTCTGTCAATTTGGTATGGAAAATAGAAATGAGACGTCATCATATTTTGAGTCACACAGTACACTTGTTTCTTGAAATGGTACTAACAAAAATCTAAAATTAAGTAAGTATATCGTCAAATCCATATGTGAAATACGGTACGATTATTGTTGAATACTACCCAATTTTGTTGGATTTATTATTTATATGTTATGCCAACTGAAAACCACTGTTGGGTTAAAATGAGTTGTGGTCAGTGAGAACACTGTTCTTGTTCTTGTTTGAACAATCTCCTGAACTGCTAGTTCGATTTTTCTTTTATGTCGGATATAAGCTTGACTGTAAGAAGTATGACCATCATAATCATAAATAATCAAATAATTAATTATTTGATTATTACCGACTAAATGATGTAACAAAAATTATAGTAAAACTGATTGAAACACCATGGAGTTTCTTGCTCGTTCTTCGCCATAGGAATCTACACTTTGGAACGAGCAAATAGGGTCACTAGAGGACAGATCGACAGACTGACACAGAAAATTGAACTTTTTGGAATTTATTGCTTGACGTTCAGAAGTTGCCTAGGGTGGTATTTTTAAATTAAATGATATTTGACTTTTATTTTGTTTATAATTGTGTAGGTCGAATAAAAACTTATTTGACGTTTAAATGCAACAAAATATTGAAAATAACTAAGTATACTAATAATCGATCTTTTTTTTTATGTAATAAGTCGGCAAACGAGCAGACGGATTACCTGATGGTAAGCAATCAACGCCGCCCATGGACACCCGCAACGGAGGAGTTACGAGTGCGTTGCCGACATTTTAGGGATTAGGGATTTGGAGATTTAGGGATTGGGGAAGGGTCCGGGAAGGGGAAGGATTGGGCCTCCGGTAACCTCACTCACACGGCGAAACACAACGCTGTGGTTGTTTCACGCCGGTTTTTTGTGAGGCCGTGGTATCACTCCGGTCGAGCCGACCCATTCGTGCCGAAGCATGGCTCTCCCACACTTCTATCGATATCTACATTAAATTTTCGATATATTTTAGCTAATTTTTAAGAAATTAGTATACTATTTGGTGCGTAATGACGTTATAATTTGGTGTTTTATATGAAATTCACAGAAAAGTATCGTTTTTGACATTTGGATAAAGTATTGAATTTGACTAGATTATTACACAACCCTGTAGTAATAAATATCGTTTGTAAATTTCAGGTGCTGGTGTAGTAACAAGCCGTGCCCACGTTAACTATGTCGTCACCGAGCAAGGCATCGCAGAGTTATTCGGCAAGTCCCTAAGGCAGAGAGCCTATGAACTGATCAAGGTCGCGCACCCTGATCATCGCGAAGCTCTAGAAAAAGCGGCGTTTGAACGCCTCAAATGCATGCCTTCACCTTAAAAAGAAAAAAAAAATGCAAATGGCGGATATAGATTTTTAAGTTGTCTTTGTATGAATTCTATGCTTTCTAGAAACATCTACATTTTATTATTGTGATCGCTTCACTAATCTCGTTTTATTTTAAGACAAACAAATCGAGTTGTTTTACAAGTCACTAAAATTTAATTATTGCGTTTTTTATTAGTTAGTAATAAAGTTTATTCCATCGCTTTTTCAATATTACTATTATATAGTAAGTAATAATATTGTTATAAAAGCGAAAGAGTATCTACACTAAAAATTTTACGCAATATTTTATTGTTATTTTCAGTTAATTTTTTTCTTAGTGAAGCGATCACTTTAATAATCACAAATGAGTAATTAAGGTTCGGCAAATTGTGTGACTATGCACAGTAGGGTTCCGTAGTGTATGATAAGAAGAAATCTAGTATTTTAAAGAAATCACTTGATTAAGTTTCGAATTTTATAACATAATGCTAAATGTTAAGATTGATCAAATGGGACATTGTGACGGTTAGAGGGGTCCTTGCATTAGTACATTTTTAATGTCGTATTTACATTATTTTTAAAGTCGTTTTGTTGAAATATTTTTGTTTTTTGTTCATTATGTGTCAAATAGGATCATACTTCAAAGTCTTCGAAAGTTACCAACCAATCATCAATCAAATAAAAATCAAGATTTTCTTACAGCTATTTCAAAAATGGAACGTAGCTAACAGTTCTAAAATGCTGTTGTAAAATTGGACCTTTATATATTTGTCACATTTTTTCTAGGTTTAGGAGTCGTACATCCCTGAACTAGTTTTATTAATAAGAATTTATTTTATAGTTATTTTAAATTGAAACAAGTATTCTTTTACTATTATTGTATGTGTTTAAAATAAATCATATATATTTTTGTTAAATCTAAGTTTGTAAGTTCTTTTGTTTTGTGTAATAAATTATTTTTATTCAAACTGTTTGTCTATGAGTCAGTGATAAGCCCAGCCCCAGACGTTTGATTTGTAATGACGGTATTTTTTTTATCTGTGAAACTACACGACAGTGTCAAAAATTTACATTATATTTTTCATTTTTATTTTTAATTGTTCAATCAAAGAGTGATAGTGATATCAAAGATAACTTGACATAGTTTAATAGGTACTAACGGAACCCTAGACTAAAATTAAATTTAGACTTTTCAATTTGACTTAGTGCGGAAATTAAAAGAGGCTTCGTTTTACGAGTATTTGAACACGTAACGTAAGTAAATAAAATGATGACGTGCTTTATAGTTGTAGTCGAGACGTATTTAAATTTAGAATCAGTATGAAGTTAGGAACAAAAGAGTCATTCGCATAATACTTCATAATAGATTGCTAGAGTCTGGCAAATGAAAGTAGAGACTGGAAAAACCCGGCAAATTTAATAAATCTTAGTATAGCAACCCAAAGAATAGTATGTCATACTTAGAGTAACCTATTTTGATACTTTATGATTTATTTTTTGCTGAATAATATTATTGTATTATTTGTATACTTTATTTATTTTATACTCTTAACTGCATGTGGACAGATCCAACTATAAATGGGATTACATCTACGTAATCAATCAATTTGACGAGATACTCGACTAGTTTCAAGCCATGCTAGAGGCCCATATTCATGAGCAGCATTCCGCGACACGCGACTCGGCGACTGTCGCGCTGCTACTGGCTACTTGAGTCTGCGCGCCCAACGCGCCCTCTGCCGCGATTCACGCGCATTTTCTTCTATCCGTGGCGTCGGCAGCGACGGCGCGCGCGACACTGTTGGCACGCTAGCATGGCTTGAAACTAGTCGAGTATCTCGTCAAATTATTACGTAAGTAAGCCGAAAACATAATAAATAATTTAGAATGTCTCACGAAAGTTATAATAAAAATCAATCAATACTGCTGGTTTTTTTTTTGTGAGGGGAAAATCTAGAAATTACTACTTCCGCCCAGGGTCGGGCGGGAGGGAGTGTCAGACTCTGACTAAAAATCACTCCCATTCCTTCTCCTGCTCTGGGCCGAAGCCACGGTGTCTCATTTCGCTTACCCCGCAACGCCGGCTGAACATCAGCCCTGTAGGGCCCCGTCTGTAGTAGTCTATTGACTCTTTGAGGCGCGCGGGTCTGAATCTGTTCTGGCGGCGAGTAATTCTTACTCGCCGTCCGCGGACCCGCGCTTATGGTGGCTGGAGATCGTCTCTCGGTCAAAACTGCGGTAATAGCATCTCCTAACCTACAGCTTACTGTTTAGGCGTTTGCTCTTGACTGTGGTCGTGACTGATGGTTTTGCATATTCTTTGGCCAAAGCAGCTATCGCACCTCCACTTATTCTGGTTTTCAGTGTTTTGGAAATTATAAAATATGTGTGTGTGTTAGAAAAACACTAATACTACACTACATCAAATGACGTTAATACACAAAAAGCCCTATCAGTGTGCCCTAAAAGTGTGGGAGAGCCATGCTTCGGTACGAATGGGTCGGCTCGACCGGAGTGATACCACGGTCTCACAGAATACCGGCGTGAAACAACCCACAGCGTTGTGTTTCGCCGTGTGAGTGAGGTTACCGGATACCCAATCCTTCCCCTTCCCTTATCCCTTCCCAATCCTTATATCCGCAACCCCCATCCCCAAAAGGCCGGCAACGCACTCGTAACTTCTTTGATGTTGCGGGTGTCCATGGGCGGCACCGATTGCTTACCATCAGGTAATCCGTCAACTCGTTTGCCGACTTATACCATAAAAAAAAAAGTATGTGGGTGATGGTTGATTGAGGCGTACAGGCTCGGGGTTGGGTCTTGTTTAGGTTGGCGGCAGACCAGAGGGCCTACCATGTCTTTCGGGCGAGATCCATCCCGATCATACAACCCTCTGTCTCGCCCAGATGATGCACGCTTTATCACTTCATGGTAGGCCTACTGAGCTTACGGTGGCCGAAAACCGTTGATAACTGATGCTCGCTTATGGCTTCGGGGACGTGAGGAGAATGTTTCATTTTGCGAGCATGACTGTTTCGCAAGGAGAAGACGTCTCGTCGAGGCTTCCCAGTTCTCTTGCTCTGCGCCATAGGTAGTCTTGACAATAGCCGGGCGTTAGAGGACGCAGCCGCTGATCGCTTTCCTTTTTTGTGAGGGAAAAATCATCGTATGTCTTCATTCAAAATCAACGCGTTCTTACTGATTAAAAACCCCCCATTCCTTCTCCTGCTCTGGGCCGCTGAGGCCGTGCTGCCTCTTTGCGCTTACTCTGCAACCCCGGCTGAACATCAGCTCTATAGGGCTCCGTCTGGCCCATCGCTTCCCTGAGGACTAGGCGGCACTCAGCCTAAGCAGAGCAATCCGTCTGCTTCTTCCACCGTACTTCGGGTAAAACTAGCAGTGGCATGACTCGAGCGTTTCCTTAAACGACAAAGATGGTTTTAGACAAAGGACATGAGCGACAAGGATCGTTTTATCCAGGTTAAGAAGAAGAAGAATAAGAAGCCCCCTTGTCTAAACCAGTGCGGTACTGCGCTGGCAGGACCCAACATGCTGTTACGGCCAGCAGTACCAACAACGCTGCTCTACGTGTCCAGATTGCTGCACTCTATACGAAGGTTGAGGAAATCGTGGAGTACGTACGAGTCCAGTGTTCCGTGTAAGTACGAGTTCAGTGTCCAGAGTTCCGTACCAACTGGACTTAGAGTCGAGAAGTTGGAGCCGCGTCTCTATATCTATATCCGCCTGAATAAATTTGACCTAGGCGTCGCCTCAACAAAGCGGAAACTCAAGATGCGTAAAAGTGCTTTTGCGAGGTGGCCGTGCCTCTAATTGGAAGACCCGGTAGAAAACCGAGGATGCACGATCCCTAAACTATTGTCGGAGATTAACACTGGAACCTACTGGATCGGGTTAACCGTTACATGGCGGTGTAACGCCTCTTTTAGGCGTGGTTTGAGACACGCTACAGCGTCCTTTCAAGCTGCCTGACACAAGTTACGGAATTAGAGGGAGGAACCATTTGGAGCAGAATTTGCCTATGAATGGACTACCCAGAGGCTTGCATACAGTGCGGCCTGCTTAGGGTGACCGTTCGCACCCCTGTATCTTAAGATCGGATCGTTAGGGACGATACCTCTGCTGTGCCTCTGTCGCTGTCGTGCCAGTTATGAAGAAAGTGCAGCGCGTGGCTTGAGGAATCTCCTCGCTGCTTGACTAAAACCAAACCCGAGCGTACAGCGACGGCGCCTTACGTCAATTTCGATAAACATTTTTCGATTTTTGTATAGGAGTTTAAAGTATTTGTTACTCAATTAAGGCCAAGCAATGAAATGAAACTAATCGGGAGCGCTCGAGTAGTTGCGAGCTGTCGTAGCCCTGCAAGCCGGATATCCCAGTGTATTTCTAAAATATTGTTTCTCTATGGATGATGTCCAGGAGTCCAGGATCACAAGTTAAATTCAAAACACACAATTACTAATGAAGTTGTTATATATTTTAATAACATACAATATCAGCGTTGTGTACCTACATACTATAAAATTGCATACCTACGCACGAGTAACACTTAAACATACTTACAAATGTATCCAAACGGATCTTTTATTTTATGATAGATAAACAAAAAACTATTTTTATTTACAAATACAATGCCCACGATTAAATCTGACGTTAAAAATAAAACTGCATCGTTATATTTTTATGTAATACGTCGGCAAACGAGGTTACGGTTTACCAGATGGTAAGCAATCAGCGTCGCCCATGGACACTAGCAACGGAGGAGTATGAGTGCGTTGCTAACCTATATTTTCTCCCTTTTCTTACTTCCTATTAATTTTGTGGGCATTATACTTTTGAATAAAGGTCTTTAATTTTTGCGCCTGTATATTTCGACATTGTTCGTAATACTTATTGTAAAATAGTTCATCAACATGATTTTGTATAACAACATTTATGTAGTGTTTGAAAAACACTAATACTAAACTAGTAATGGTGTCTTAGATGTTATCTGCAAGAATACGGGTTCACTAAGGCATGAT